TATATGCCTCACTTATCTGTATGTCAAGCTCTTTTCCCCTGCTTGGGAAGTTTTCTGCCATTACTTCTGTGAAGAGCTTTTTTATGTCATCTGCACTCTCTCCTGTTTGTTCATTGACTCCAATCAGTCTTATGTTATTCTTTTTTGCATCGTCTAGCAGCTGCTGGATTGATTTCTCGTGTTCCCTTATAATTTTGAAGCAATTTTTCTTCTCCTGGTCATTAAATGCAATCTTATCTTCTATATCTGAAATTCTGTCCTCACATTGGCTCATTCTGCTGTGTAGATTTTCAGTGGAGTTTTTCATCTCCTGGAAATCTATTTGCATCTGTTTTATGGATTCCATTTGTTTCCTATTTTGGGATTCCATCATGTTCCTCAACTCCTCTTTAGATTTATTAATCATGTCTTGCACTAGCAGCACAATTTCTCCTGTTATCTGAGAAATTATTTCTGATTTCATTTTTTCCAGATCTCCTTTTGTTGACAGTTCAGTAGGTCCAGGTGGTTGAGTATCAGAGTGTTCCATCTCCTTTCCCTTTGTGGTTGCTGTAGGTGATCTGGAAGTCTGGTTTTGAGCCTTATTTCCGTGTTTTCTCATTTTGACTGGGTGAGGCCGGGGTGGGAGCTGTTGGTGCCCACGCACCTCACCTCCTCTGAGCTGGGAGAGGTTGGACAGGGGCCAGATCCGGGGTAGGGATGATGGCCCAGAAGCCCCTTCCTCTGGGCCAGGAGTGGCGGGACAGAAGGTTGCCCAAAAGCCCTTTCCTCTGGGCTGGGAGCGGTGGGAGGGATGGTGGCTGGGAAGCTCCTTCTTCTGGACCAGGAGCAGTGGGATGGTGGCTCAGAAGCCCCTACCTCTGGGCCGGGAGCGGAGGGACCCAGTCTTGGTTTTTACAAATTAAGTCATATCCGTCATCCCAAACTGTATACTGCTCCCAAGCAAAGTAGCCAGTTGCTCCACTAAGTTGAACACAACTTTCTTCCAAACCTGACCTACTATAAGGGAGTGGGTAACAGTCTGAGTGGCTCGTTATAGACATGAGACTTAAAAACAATACATGATGCTCACACCTGAGCTTCTAGGGTCTCATCTGCCCTGTTCCATTAGAAGGCCATAGAAGAGGAGTTCCATTTCATGCTAAGAACCATATAAAACTGGTGGTATAGGCTCAGAAGAAATAGATTGACTTTTCACCACACCAAGAATGCACCAAATGGCCTCGATCTTCCCCAGGAACAGGCCCCACTGAGAATATTAGCTCCTCAGTGGCTGCTCCCAGGCCACAGAAACTTCACTTCACCTCAAAGCCCAGGCATCAGGAAGACAGTAGAGTCAAAAGTAGAAGTGAAATAAAAATGAAGGAAACACCATTTTAAAGTTAAAAAAAGACACTGCTTTGTATCGCTACTGATGAAGGGTGCAGACCTATTTGTGAAGAGGAAGGAAGAACCTAACAAATGGGCAAGCTATAGAGCTTTTATATCCATGAAAGTGTGGGATGTGACTTGGGGGATCATGGTACCAGGCCTCTCCCAAGAGGGCTGTGTGCATTTGTTAGGGTGTTGGGGAGACTGTGGAGGAGCTAAAAGAAAATGGTTTCATTTTTGTCTCTAAAGTGCTAGGTGGATGCCAATAAAGTTCTTAAAGCCTCCTTGCTTCAAGCTCACAGGACCAAAACATAAGCAGGGAAACTATTCTATTCATTGTCATTCCCTCTGCTCTTTTCTGGAATCAAGTTAATCTAGGAACATGTCCAGTAGTTTCAGGTTAGGGAATTTGGCTCTTCAAGCTGAAACAGGGAGGCAAGCAAGCAAGCATTTTCCCAGGTTAGTCTTGGGGAAATGGTGGGGAATCGATCCTTTGTAGGATGGGATAGAATGTACCCCATTTGCAGAGTACTGGCTGTTGTGGACACCATATCCCAGGCCTTTGCTGCTGCTGGGGTGTAAGAATAAGGCAGGAGAGTCTAGAATGACTAGGCAAGGCTGACAGGAGCAGGAGAGATCTAGGGATGGAGCACAGCAAGTTAGAAAAGTGGGAGCCAATCTCAGTATTTACTTCCTCTCTCTAGTCCCTTCCCAATAATGAGTTAGATAAATGGTATAGTATGCAACAAGAGAAATACATCACCTATATAGGGAGATGAAAAAAGCACTATATTCTAAACTAATGAAACAATTCTTCATGAAATTGGGTTTAGTTCTGAGCCCTACATACCTTAGAAGAACCTAAAGTGGTACCTTCCAAAGAGGAGATGCTGCCTTCACACTTCTGCAGCAGTATCACAAGATGGAGAAAGGAATTGAAATCTCTGTGGCCTAAGGAACACAGCCAGAACCCAGGCAGACAGAAGGTGTTTTCTTTATATTGAGCTCACATCTACTAGTACAGCTGTATTAACCAATGTATAAGGGAAGACTGCATAAATTCTTGGTGTAGAAATAAGCTGAGAATCCCTAATCCAAAAATCCGAAAATGTAAATGCTCCACATCTGGAACTTTTTAAGCACCAAAATTTCCACATCTTGATCTCACATGACTGACTGCAAGTCAAAATGCAAGCACTAAAAACATTGTATGAAATCATCTACAGGCTATGTATATATGAAATATGAATGAATTTTGGTTTAGACTTTGGTCTCATTCCTAAGGCGTCTCATTATATATGCAAATCTTTCAAAACACCAAAAATTTCAGATTGTGAAACACTTCTGGTACCAACAATTTCAGATAAGAGCTATTAAAAATGTTCTATAAAAATATACCTAAGTAAGGATTGAAGGCCTTATAGGGAGGATTGGACTAGACTACCTTGAACCCTTGAAGGTACCTAGGATGACTAATTTAGTATCAGTCATGGCTTTTAAATGTATAATACATATCTTATATATACATATCTTTTTAGGTAGGATATAAGGGGAAATTAAGGTACAGCTGGCAATATCATAGCTGATGTAATATGAAAATGAGTAGTGTTAAAAGTAGTTGGTTATTTGAAAATTAGACCTCTGCTCACTTACCTGTCTCATATTTAAGACTTTGTGAAAAACCATTATCTATAGATTATTTGCAATGGTGGAATTGAATTAGCTCTTGAATGGAGCCTTATAACCTTAGCCCTAGCCCAGTTCTGCCACTGAATCACTCTGTGATTTCAAATAAATCACTTTTCCTCTCTGTTTCACTTCCCACCTCCATACAGTGAGGCTAAGCAATATACCCTGACCTGCTTATCAGCAAGGGACAGTGTTATGAAGATCAGATAAATGTAATATATATAAAGGTATAAGTAAATTGTGACTGGGGGCAGTTTAAACCTAACCCAGAACTGTGATGTCTGACTGGCTTAAAAGATTAATATCACAATAATTGCTCCCCAACACAACACTATTCCTAGCTTAATGCTGTACCACTAACCAAGACCTACTGAACACAGAGAGAAATTCCTTGAGGTTGGCCTCTAATTTCTAGACTTTCTGCCCCACCTTTCCAGATTGCCTCAGTAGATTTAAGGGCTAGGAACTTGAAAGGGCACATTGAGCTCCAGCCTGTCTCTAGAGCTTTCAGCAGGGCTCCCCTCAAAGGTCTCAGCTACAGTATAGGTGGTAAAGTTGGAAAACTTTTGCAAGTCCAGCTCTGTGCATTCGATAGGGTTGTGTACCCAATTGGAGTGGCTCTCCGAGGCACAGGAGGGCATAGTAAAGGACTCCTGTGTGGGGAAGACAAGAGTTGAGCTGCATTCGTCATCCAGAATGGGGGTAAGTGGCTGGTTCTCAAAGATGTTCTCACTCACTGGGTACTCAGGACTGGTCTCCTGACCAGGTGGCATGGGGAAGAGAGATTCTTCTGCTGCCTCATCAGCTTCAAGCTGCAACGAACCTCCTGCAACTCAAAGCAGAAAGCCACTGGGTCATCCAAAGCCAGGATCTCTTCTCAACCTGGTCCTAAGCACAAATAAGGAGGGTACTGAGAGCTAGTATTACTCTTTCCCTCTCTGGGTACCAGAACACCTAGAATGAGGTTGAGGTAACATATGTGAGAAACATACCTAAACTGGGGTATCAGATTGAGGCTACCTTTTTGCTGAATTAATGAAGCAAATAAATTTCTTCAGAAAAAGAAATGCTGTGTGGAAAACAGATTTTGAAACATCCCTATGTTGTGATCTCATCCATTGGTGTTATTTCTATGTATGTTATTTTATATTGCAAATGGGACTTTGCAAATAGAATTAATGTGATCAACTTTAAAGTATGGAAGAGATCCTAGATGATCCAGATAGGTCCAATGTAAAATCACATGTCCTTAAAGGCAGAAAAGGAAGACAGAAGCGACAAAGAGAGAGTATTAAAGAGATGTAGCACCAAAAGGACTCAACTCATTATTGGTAGTTTTAAAAATAGAAGAGCGACATTAGCAAGAGTATGTGGGCGGCCTCTAGAACTTGAGAGAGGCCTTCAGCTCATAGCTAGTAAGAAAATGGGACCTCAGTTCTACAACTGCATGGAAATGTATTCAGCCTTCTGCTTGCATGAACAAGGAGACAGACTCTCTTTTAAAGGCCCTAGAAAGAAATACAACATTGCCAATATCTCACCCTTGTGAGATCCAGCCAAGCCTGCTGAACTTCTGAGCTATGCAAACTGTGAGATAATAAGCTATTAGATGTTCGGTAATTTCTTATGGTAATGACACAAAATAATATACCCTTCATGCATGAGATTGATTCAAAATCAGGTTACAAACTGAGAATGTATTGAATGTATATTTGTTTCACTTACCCACTAGGGTTGTAGCTTAGCTCTTTATTAAAATTCTTTGCTAGTATTTAACATGACCTCTTACCAAAAAATCCAGATTTCTGGGATCTTTTGAAAATTTGGAAAGTTTTGCAATTTTGAATATTTCCAAATAGTGACAAAGAGCTAGAACTGAGTAGTAGATTTCCTTTTCAATAGGGGATGTACTCTGGCTTGCCACAGTCCCTATGACTTTCTCTTACACCTTAGAGTGGATCTAATCCACCCAGTGTCCTCACTTGCACAGCGCTAAGTATATGTGCCAGTCACTCCTGATAAAGACCTTCCCCTGAGGAAAATCTAGCACTCTTTCTCCTTATGGAGACTGTAAGGAGGTTGCCTTCCCTCATATTCCCAGGGGATACCACATTATTATCTTGAGGACAGAAAGGGAAAAGAAGAGTGTTACTCATCTCTTTTCTCCTAGGGAAGAGAAGGGAGACAGCCAGTTCTCAGATCATTCTTCATATTCATCTTGCTGAACTCTGGGACCCAAACGCTTCATCGTATGTTTCATACCCACACTCAGGGATTGGAAAGTAGCTTTTATTTGAGATATGGGCTTCTGAAGTCAGAGAAATGGATAGTCCAACCTGAGCCACAGTGTCCCAGGCGATACGAAAATGTAGAAGAGATTGAAGTAGTTTGAGAAGCATCATAAAGAGACAAAGGGAAATACTACAGCCATGAAATGCTAGATTTATCTCTATTTAAGCAAAAAGCACAACCAAATATACCTACTAGACATTTTCATGGTAAACTGACAGGATCCACAGCCAAAGTGACCAAGTAGCTCCATTCAACAGGGACATTCCCATACAAATAGAATGAGGTTTTTAAAATGTAGTTTCTTTGGGCCCAGGATCTAGTAGGCTAAAGAAGAGTGCTCAGCTTCATTGTCTTTAGTAAACTTTATGCTCCCTCTTACTAACTCAATTCTGTACTAGTCCTGAGTTCATGTTTTAGTGTCCCTGCTTAGCTCTCATTTCCCTTAATGTCACTGAAGTTGCACTGAACCTACTCTTGGCTGGGGTTGTAACATTTTGTTTGGTCCTGACCAGCCACCATTCCATCTCCTCTATATTTTCCTTAATGAACTGCTTGGCTAATGAATTAAGTTATGCTGAAAACCGATCACAATGACTTCTGTCTGGAATTTTACATGATCATCTCCCGTGAGCTGGGCCAGACATCTTTGGGTTCCAATATTGATTTGGGGAAAAAATGTCAAAATTTATCAATTAAATGCTGGGTTTTCAATTACTGCACTTTGGAAAATTACTATACTACTAGCAGTTTCCCTAGACCTCACCCACCTTTTTTTTTCACTTTTAAATTAATTTTATTGGTACATTTTAGGTATACATTCATCATTGGAGATTTGTATCTTTACATAATATATCTTGATTCTTATTTTTGGCACATTCCCCTGCCCTCCCTTCAACCCCTCCACCCTTCCCTATTTACAAAGACTCACCCACCTTTATTAAAATAATGTCTCATTTATAGCCAAGTGTCCTACCCTTCTGACATGTTCCAGAATTTAATTTATTAATATAGATATGCAGAATTGCAAAAAAAGACACCTTCAACTAATATAATCCTATCTCTTACTTTAAAGATTAGGGAGAAAGAAGCTCATAAAAGCTAGATAACCTCCAAGGTTACATTATTAATTAGAGATAGGTTTAGAAACTGAGTGTTCAAATTTCTTTCACATGGAGTTTCCCATCATGATCCTATGTGACTTCCTGGAATCTAATGAACCATCTCCCCAAAACTCTCAAAGTTAACCTCAATCATCTTTGAAGTCCCATGCTTTCTATTGCTATCTCAGATAATTCCACAGGCCAACCCTGGAGAAGACCACTCCTGGGTTTTTCCAGTATGGTTAAGTAAGGTCCATTAATTCTCAGCCCCTGAAAGTTCCTCTCTTCTCCCAATAAGAGCTTTACATCTGATTCATGTGAAATATGAAGCAGCCACTCTTACCATGCTGGCAATGTCTGTTGAAGAACTGCTTGCAGTAGAGGAAGAAGAGCCCCAGGAAGGTCAGGGTAAACACCACCAGCAGACTGCTCACCAATGCAACAAGTGTGGCCTCCTGCAGGGGCACTGTGGGTCCATCTGCCTTCACTAAGCTCAACTGAAAGGCACCTGTGGGACAAAATGTGGGAGAGGTCAGATAGTGTGGGCAGTCAAAGTTACACTGACACTGGGTCTGGACTTTCTTAGGCCATCATCCTCTCCCTCAGGCCTTCCCCAATTAGGGCAATCATGCTGGTTAGCAGAAGAACTCACACATACTGCAGGCATGCTGTAAATTAGTAATAATTAAAGATTCACATATCCTACGGTCATGTCACATCTAGTGATATAACAAAATTTAAAAATTAAAAATTTCATCAATAAATTCATAGGCTAAATGAATTCTAATATAACCCTAAGGTATATACTATATACCATTTAAAGTAAACATTGTATTATTAATATAAAAAATCCATACAGGAAAAAAAACAAATGCATACCCAAGTTTATAGCAGCACAATTCATAACAGATAAATCCTGGAAGGGGCCTATATGTCCATCAACAGATGAATAGATAAAGAAAGTGTGGTATTTATGCATAATGGAGTACTATTTTGCCATAAAGAAGGATACATGTGAGTCATTTTTAGGAAAATTGATGTACTTTAAGACCATAACTTTGAATAAGAAAAAATTAGGCACCCAAGCTTAAATAATTTTGCCTGGTTTCTCTTATATGAGAAACCCATAATATCAATAAAGAGCAAAATAAAAGACATGATAGGAAATAAGGAGATAAATGTTTTGCAAAAGGGAAAGCAACCAACAGATGGAGGGAGGATGGACAGAGGGGAAGGGAAGGGGGTAAAAAAGAATTAAGATGTGTTATGCAAATATACTAACTCCCCACAAGCAATGCAAAT